TTAAGTAAACCTTCTATAATTCTTTAAAATTTAAATGTGGAATGAGAATAGTTTACTTTTCAGTTCTATTTCATTCAAATGATATTTTCTTATTCATGTGGAATATTGGTCGTACAAATCTGAAAAGTTAAATGATTATTTGCAAAATTTGCTGATGTTTCATTAATTTTTCTCGGATATAGGATATTACTATTGCTGTATGACATTCCAAAATTATTGGCTGAGAAATGTTGAAAACATTTTGTAACAGGCAGCGATTGAATACAGACACAACAGAATCGATTGATTCGGGATTCTCGTCGTTAATTACTCATCTAAATGATTATCCAACCAAACAAAGACGTAATTTACAGGTGAAGTTATTTTTCTTTCATACAACAAAGTAATAAATCATAGGATCGTTTAATATTAATATTTTCTTGATTACAGGTAGATGATGTTCTTTGGTTTTGTTCTTTCATTCTAACTGTGTGGTATTTTGGACTTCCGCTATCATTATTTACTGATCCACGCGTTGATTGGTGAGTTACCATTTCTGATTTCTGACTTATGTAAAAAATTTACTCGATATTCGAGTTGAAAATATTCATCTTTAGTTATGGAATAACTTTTCACGACATAATTAAACTATTCCTCTCTTTCTAAATTTAATTTACTGCTCTATCCATGAATGTTTGAATTTATTCTCATGCTTGCATCAAATTAAATTTCTTAGAAAAGAATTTTTTTTCCAGGTTTTTCTTATTTTGTTCAATATTTTATCAACTAAGCTTTTTCTTGATTGGCTTATATCTGTGCGCAAAAAATGATAAAAATTCACCAGATAAATGGCACAAAATCTATCCGAAATTATTTTTCCTGGCCATTGCTCTATTTATATCCTCTTGCATAACGTAAGTTTTCGGAATTCTGGACTTTTAAAAATGTTCATACCTCATTTCTGATATTTAAAATGATACAGGTAAGAGGAAGATTTGAACATATTTTGCTCACTTTTACAGTTTTATGTGAAAAAGGTTTTACTTCGCTTGGTTTTTTAGGATGTTCTGTTTTTGTTTATTTGTTTACTGTTTATCAACTTACTAAATGATATTATCAACTTTGAACGAAAATGTGCTTTATAGGTTTTGCTTTGCAACATGGAACTTGTGGAATTTCTGGACGATTTATATTGTACTTGTTACTTTTATGTTTACCATTGTTGTAATATCATTTCTATAGTACCAAAATTAAGTGTGAATACGGAAAAGTAATATTTGTAGCTTATTATATTTTTTTAAAAAAATTTTGATACAATTTGATTGTATTAAAATTCCGATAATCATCGGAAACATGTAAAATTAATTTGCTATGATAGCTAGCAAATGAAGTTTGTGCTATACGTTTATGTTGCCATAATTGTGCATACTTTAACATCAAATGTTAAATTTCCCACATTTTAGAGTTCTTCCATAAAATGAAAATTTAACGTTACCATCAGTTGAAATGGCGGTTTGAATTTTTCGTTAAAAACATCTGGTCAGATTGTTCATCAATCCCGGTTGGGAATGTTGATTTGCTTGTTATTTTTTTAAAATCATGAACAGATTGTTTTAATCATAGAGTCGAAATTTTGCCATGGAATTTTTTGTAAGAATGAATATCAAAGGATTGTTTGAACCTGATCCGCTAATTAACATGATGTATTATTATAAAGTGCAACAAATTTGAATATAATTTTATGACAAGACAAACGATCACGTTTAATAAGAATTGCAAAAGATAACTTTTAGCTATTATTTATTTATTTATCTCTTATATTGCAATGAAAATATAAATGCATTAAAATATAGAAAAAGTTTTTAAATTTTTAAATGGATGAATTTAGTTTTTGGCCTATTTTATCGGTGTACGTACCACCACCACAAATGGAATTATTTGTTTTATCGATTCTTCGAAATTTTTTTCTTTTTCTCATTTCATTTTTATTGCACTTTATAATTAGGCCTATTAATTAAGATCATCAATTTCTTTTAATCACTTTTCAATCATTTCTTTTGATTAATATAATTAATAGCTTTTATTGTTTCATATTATTTTGTAAGAAAATTTTTTTTTTCATATTATTTAAAAATGAAAACAAACAAACAAACAAACAAAATGATATATTATAAATAATATATCAAATTCTTATTTCAACAATATTATATTTGATTATGAACTATGAACTTTTTTTAATTTATTATTGAATAAATTATATTGGCACATAAAAATAGGAATGAAAAAAAAACTTCTACTTCCCCTCTTATTCATCCATCCTTTAAGCTCATTTGACGAAAATTGAAGAGATATTTAAAATTTAATTTCCTATTTTACAATTTATTTTCAGTTGGAAAAAAAAACGGAATGAAAATTAAATGAAAGATATATGTGAGTGAGTGTATATGTATGTATTATCGATATTGCAAAATTATTACGTAATGAAATTGCTTTTAATTTTAGATCGTAAATGAAACATTTTTGTTATGTTTTTATTCTGTTATACTTGTACATTATTTAAATGGGTGAAATGAAGTAAGTTTGTGTTATGCTGTCAGCTATCAGATAACAATAACAACAACAACAACAATCTTTTCCTATCACATTTGCAAAAACATATTATTTATTGAACATTCTGTTATGTCGATTGTTTTTCATTGCTATCATTATGAATAGTTTTAACATCATCGTTTGTAATTTTGGAAAATATCGCCTAATGTTGTTATTAAATTTCTCTCGAAATCTGTCACATTATGATGGAGTTATTTTTTTTCTTTCTCCTCCTCCCTCATTTAGAAATTTATATTTAAAATTGTATCGATTAATTTTTAAATTGACAAACCATATGTTTAAGCTAAAATTGAGAATGCGAGAGATGAAGAGCTTGAAATAAAACCTAACATATTTCAATCACAGAAATGCGGAAGAGGCTATGCCAATGCAGTTTGGCAAAGCCTTTAATGATCATCATCCTCATACAACTGAAACGTAATTCGAAAATTATCTGCAAAAGATATCGTGCTTCATTTTCAAATTTATTTTCAGTTTATTGAGACCGAATTAAGTTGCAGTTATTTTCTTTTTCCAATATTTTTATTTTTCAATTATTTAAAAAAGGAATTCTTAAAATTTGTTTTTAATTAGAAGAATCGAATTTTATCGTTAATCTAATTTCATTAAACAATATTAAACCTTTTTAAGGTAAAAATAAATGAAACAAATTTCTACCAAAAAAATTTCTTTTGTTTTTCAATAATTTTTATTGCTTTCCAAAAAATTGATATATTTGTCAATCAAAGTTCTTTTTTTCTGAATAAAAAATCAATTAGGATGATGAAAAGAACTTGGAAGATTTTTGATAAAGTGAAATGATTCAACGATGTTGTGTTATTTTTCAATTTCTGTTCTTGAAGGAAACAGAACTTAGTTAATGTGTTTATTTAAAAATAAATTAATGTATTGAAATTTCCTTAACTAAATTTTAATCAATTTTTTAACTTTTGAAATGCAATGAAGTTTATATGGATAAAATGTGTGATAATTTCTTCAAAGTTGAATGAAATTGTTTTTTCCTCTTTTTTTTTTCTTCGATTTTTTTGAAATTGCAAAAATTGCTACGGCAATTTTAATGATTGTTAGCTTATACCTTTAAATCTCTATACCTTTAATTTAGTAGTTTTGCCATTTTTCAATAAAAGCAACAGTAGAATTTCCCACATTTTACTTTTAGGAAAAAAAATCAAAAATTCGCACCCAAAATTTTAATATAAGAAATTATTATTGCATATATGCAAAATATTTTTTCACAATTTTACTTATACTATAATTTTATGCTTAGAAAATTAATGAAAAAGGTAAAATATATATATTTTTTTTTAAGAAAAATTTGTATAATATTGAATTTCATAATTGCCATAAAGAAATGTTACTTTAAAAAGAAAAAATTAAAATTGATTTCGTTATTTAAATATAGACATTGGAAATATGTTTAATAATATCAGAGTTATATACGAAATTACAATACTTATTTCTATTAAGTAAAATAGTTAAAGCCGTTAGTTATTTGCTTTTAAAATATTCGATTAAAATGAGAAAAAAAAATATTGGAAATTTAATCTTCAAAGAAATATGTATATCATCAACGATCATAATAATCGAAGTTTTCTCTATCTATAAAATGTATGTATTCTCTTTAAGATTTGTTTACAGCTAAAGTGATTGCTCGAAAAGTTTGTCATACCTGAAAAATAATATCTGAGAGATGATCTTTAAATTTCAATTTTTTTTCTTTGTCTAAATAATAATTCATTTTCAGGTATACTATTTTAATCATTTTCTCCTTCCGTTTTTTTTCCTGTTTTAATATCTTCAATATTTACTATGCTTTTTATAATTTTTCTTGAAGACTTTTAAAAGCTATTTTTTTTATGCAAATGAAGCTTTGGAATAGGTAAATGATAATTCAATCATAATTTTCAGGTAGATAGAATAAATTAATTTGTTTACCGTTGTCTAATTAATAATTCATTTTCAGGAATATAATAATTTAGAAAATGGTTGGAAAATTTTTTTACAAGCAATTTTGCTATAATTATTTTTGATAAACTTTTTGGGAATTATAAATTATTCATTAATTTCATCATCTAAAATGCTAAAAATAATTGTTTTAAAAAATATTAAAAAAAACTTCGTTCTCACAAAATTTATAAATATTTTAAAATATTCATCGTAATAAATCGGTGCTACTTTTCGATCAATTACAACTTCATTTTCTTTTCTGTTAGAAAATCTTTGCAATTATTTAAATGAATTAGTGAATTTAAAGGAAATTTGGCTGCAACTATCATCAACAATTTCAACACTGTATTTCACGATAAACTAGAAATATCATTATTTTTTGAGCATTTGTTAACAATTATGATATCCGTGATATCATCGAAAGTAATCGTATTATCGAAACAGTGCTAACAATTTCTATCATAATGAATTGTACTATAATAGAAAGATTATCATTATATTTGAATATTCATCAAATTATCATCGCTATTATTCTGGTACGATTTGTTCTGGTACTTCTCGTTTCAATAACAATTTTAACATTCTTTTATTCTTTCAAAAAGAAAATTAAATGGAAGAATTAATCAATAAGTTGTAATTTTGTTAAGTAATGTTTGAAGAAAAAAAATTAGAATAGCTTTTTCCATGAAAATTTTCTCAACTATTTAGGTAAAAGGTTATTATATATTAAATATTTAACTTTATACGAATCATATCTTTTATGTTTATTGTAAATTGATTACTTTAATTTCAGGTCATACTGATATTTTCTGTGATAGTTGGGAATACATTTGTTATACTATCCGTAATTATTTATAAGCGTATGAGAACATTTACAAATAAATTATTAACATCACTTGCCACTGCTGGTAAGTTTATTCGTATAAAATAGAGGATTATGAAAATCGAAAAAGCATTAATGTGACATTTTAGGAATTAGATTTTAACTTAAATGATGAATCATCAAAATAATTTATAAATTAATTTTGCATACGAGAAAAAAATTTTTTAAACTGTAAGTTAAAATCTAATTAAGATTGGCTAAGTTTCTTATTAAGATTGGCCAAGTTTCGAAATATGATATCGCACTTTATTATAACTGTTTGTTAGTGCATAGTTATCACAAAAACATTTCAATTTTAAATTTAGCTTACATTTTGATCCGTTTAATCTATTCCAATTAAAATCAATTAATTAACATATAAATAATATTTCATCTTAATTTCCATGAATGAAACTTCCGGAATATACTCATACACTGATTTTGTTCTTTTTTGTAATATTTTTCTGAACTGAAATTACTGTGAAAAATTTGAGAAAAATTTCATTTAAATCAAACAAATAATTTATTACAATAAAAATGCATGGCAAATAATCGAATTCTAAATCTTAAATTGAAAATCAGAAAATGATTTAAATATAAATTTTTGAATTTTCAAATTTAAATTCATCGAAATCAATAATACTTCATCCGTAATACACTTTATTATAAAGTTATAAAAAAAAAATTGAAAAATAATTCTAAAATTTTTTTGCAGATCTCTTAGTTGGTCTATTTGTAATGCCATTATCATTATTGGATTTACTATTAAATCATGCCTGGCCATTCGATATATTGTTATGTAAAGTTTGGTCAACAACTGATGTCCTTTTCTGTACAGCATCTATACTCAATCTTTGTGTCATATCAATTGATCGCTATTTGGCAATTTCTAAACCATTAAAATATTCTCGAACGAGGTATTTTAATTTCTAATATTTTAATGCTTAATTAATAAGATATTATTCGAGGAAAATTATTCATGCAATTAAATTCCTACCTTAATATTAAATGCCAAGATAACAATTGTTGATTACATGAAAACAAAATTAAGAATAATAATTAGATGTGATGTTGATAAGATGATTTGGTTGTAAACATCTCGGGTAGTGTGTTAGCGATGTCTCGTATGTATTTATTTATGCAAGTAGCTAAAAGATAGATAGCTTGCAATATGTCGAAAATCCTGCAGAAGCACAAGTATATTTGCATAATGCCTAATTTGAAATTTCAATGAATTTTTAGCATTAGTTCGATTGGCGAAAACTTCCGACTTGTCGGAAGTTAAATAATAGCAAAAAATAAAATTAAATAACAGCAAGGATCGGAAGATGGAGCATTAAATCCTGAAATATTGTGATTTGAAAAAAAAAAAGAATTATTTCCTCATTAACATCTCAATGCTTTTCCACTCATTTCTTTCTTAAAGCTATATTAAATGCAACGAATTTGATAAAATGATCTTATCAAAATTATCAGAGTTATATCAAAATGATTTTATCAAAATTTTTTTAACCATTAACTTGCATATATTATTAAATATTAATGACAAACATCATGTGGTACACTTAATTTTTATAGAAATTATAAAACAGCTGCTTTATTATTGGGCTCAGTTTGGTTGATCTCATTTATAGTGTGTTCACCACCGTGGATATTTCATTTTGATAATTATCCTAAAATCATTCGTGTGAATATTTCTGGATCCAATTCATGTTTTGTTGATATGATCTTTTGTGATTATCCCAGTGGTATTATATATCGAATATATAGTTCCATGGCGAGCTTCTTCATTCCACTTTTGGTATACATATATATTATATGTACAGCTAAATTTTTAATTTAAAAATTAGAAAATTTTAAATTAAAATTCAATCTAATTTCAAACAGATGGATTATTTTCTTTTGTTAAAAAAAACTAGAAATGATAAATTAAATTAGAAAATTTCATATTTATATAGTAGTGTAGTTTTATGAAACTATATTTTAGGTGATGTGCTGGATATACTGCAAAATATTCCGAATTATATCGAGGCGTGAAAAAGTTTTATGGAAAAGTATCAATTTAAGATCATACGACGAATCCAGTAAATGTTATACTTTAAACAGCCAAAGCAGAGATAGGTGAAATTAAAAATTGTTTCGATTCAAATTATAATATAATTTCATTTCTTCAGTCTCTTATTTTAACAATTTATCAACCATAAGTGCAATAATCTCAGCATTATAATGTACTGATTACAACAATTTTAATCCAGTTATCGATAAGAATCACTTCTTACATTGCTATACAGTGATTCTGCATAACTATATATCTTTCTGAGTTCTGTGTAATGTTTGAAAAATACCGGTGCCATAATGTAAGTAGACCGGATTTATGATAATTCGGATTACAGGATACCATAGTGAAAAAAGATAGATCGGAGTTTATAATAATTCAGGTTACACAATTTTTTTTTATAACTAAGAATAGTGACGAAATTACGACAGATATTTAATAATTTTGATTGGTAGCAATAGCAATTAGTTAACCATCTGTTATTGGATAACAAAATAATTTCGAACGGTTATGGAACATAATTTCGAAAATTTATACGGACATTATTTTTGTGATCAGATTAAAATTAAAAAAGTTTAAACAAAAACTGAAGTAACCTTACACATTATGGGCTTACAATCCATCATAGATAATGATTATTTTTAAAAAGTTGAAAGAAAAAAAGAAAAACATCTTTCCTGAAAGTTTTAATTATTGCAAAGAAATTTAACCTGAACATCTTTGCGACAGATTTCCTGCATTACGAATTTTTATATTACACAATTATCAGCAATAATTTTATAGAAATAACATTGAACGATATTCGGAAGAATCAATATCTAAAAAGCAAACAACAGATGATATAATGTATAGTGCTATCAGTGTTGGCATAACTCCACTTAAATCAGATTCATCGAGTTGTGAGATAACATCAAATGATCGATCAAAGGTCTCTTTCACTTTGATCATTTTTGTTATTTATCAACGCTTCGGTCCTCTTTAATCTAAATATTAAATACATATTTAAGTTTTAATGATATAAAGATTTACATTAATTTATTTACATCAAAATTGAAAGATGAAAGTTAATTTCATTTATCATTAGGATGAATTATCGTCCAGAAATAAATGTTAATATACTATCACATACTAATATATCTCAAATACCCTGCACTGAATCTTTCCAGTTGTTTCTAATCGATTAGCTAATTAGTGGAAAGTATAAGATGGAATATTTGAACAGATAGAGTGTTAGACTTTATCAAACTTGTCCCATATATTAAATAAATCCTTGCATTTCAGTCATCTATAAATCAAATGGATACTGAGGATGGAAGTGTGTTAACATTAGCCAAAATAGCACAACATTGTTACCTTAAATTACAACATCGTTATTTATTAGCCAAAGCGCATGATCGCTATCCAACTTATGGCCCTAGTAAATTTACTAACACTTCACGGGAGAAAATTGTTTATATGAAGGAACGAAAAGCTCTAAAAACGATTTCCATCCTTTTTTTCGGTATTTTTCATACTTCTAATTAATTTGATAATTTTTCATGCTTATATTTTTCATACTTATAATTAATTTAACACTTCTAATTAATTTGCTATAATGAAAATAAATTAGCAAAAAAAAAATGGGAAATGTAAAGTTAACAAATTTAGGAGAAAAATGTATTGTGTAACTTTACTAACAAATTTAATTTTAAATCAATTGAAAAGTTATTCTGTCAGGTTTCTAATTTTGTATCATTTATCAACAATTCTTTATACTTTTTTATATTCTAAAAAACTTCTCAACTGATTGACATTATCACTAACTGATACATCCTATCAGATTCAATAATTTTCAGCATTTTCGATATGTTGGTTCCCATTTTTCGTAATTTATTTGGTCGAAGTGACAGTGAGCAGTTCTAATGAGATTATTTATGCAACAAAAGAAGTATTCCTATGGCTTGGCTATTCAAATTCTGTTAGTTTTATATTTTTAAAAAAATGAAACTAAAAATTTTGAGCTTTTTTTAAGATAGCAATTTAAAGGAAAAAGTAATCTATTGAATTGTTAAATTTCTGAATTTTACTTAATATAATATATTTTAATTTTCAAATGAAAATTTTATTTGAACAATGAATGTATTGTAGGTGTTGAATCCAATAATCTATACGATGTACAATCACGATTTTCGACGATGTTTTCGTGATCTTATGACATTAGGATTTATCACGAAACGGCGATCAATGAGTATCCGTAAACTTCATCAACAAAGCATCTGTTGAAATTATTTATCAATTTTTGATATGAATCACTTTTGCTCAAATATCATTTTACTAACATATATATTTTTTTCTCCTTCATTTCTTCTCATTTGTTGTTATCACAATACCAATTATTTGATATATGTAATCAGATGAATAGTTAAGAATAAGATTGAAATATGAAAATTAAAAAATTATTTAATAATGCTATCAATTGTTATCAGTTGTATGCTAACAAATTTAATCATTTTTATTGAAGTACTTAATTGATAAGAGATGTATTGCTTTGTTTTTGAATATTTTTTTACAAAATTGATGTTAAATTTTTGAAAGAATTGAAGTAATTAAAAAAATATAGTTATTTTATTTATTGTAATTTTTAATTGAAAGCATTAATTAATTATTCTATAATTATACAATAATTATTATTACGATTTATTATTATATCATTTGCATTTCATCTTCCGGTTTTTTTTTTTAAATTCAATCTTTCTAAACTCTATCTCCTTCATATGTGTCTTCCGTTTTCTTTATCTCTTTATATTTGGAAATATATGTGAACCGGAAATTGAGAACTTTTTATCAGTTAAAATTTCTTATCTATTACCGATGTAATTTGAAATCATAGCTGTTCTGTTTTATTAATTTTAATCACCGATCTAACAAATAACTATTATATTATAAAGACCTGATAATAAAAATAATGTTGTTGTCCAGAGAATTTAAACTTTCCAGAGAAACACAGCAAACATAATTTATTTCAAAATAAAAATTTCACACTAAAAAAGACAAAGAAAAAGAAGAAAAGGAAATTTCTATTTTGCCTATTTGAAATAATAAATGTTAATTTTTATAATTAGCAAAATTTTTCTTTGGCAGCTAATTTTGAAAGCTTCATTAAGTATTATTAAAACAATGAAAAATTTAAGCAACAAATGAAAGATAAAAAGAGAAGAATTTCACTTATTGTTAGTGAAAAAATTTGTTTAAATACAAAAAAAAAAAATTATCATTTCCCGATATAATTATCAATTAATCATTGATAATGAGAAATAGTTTAGGGAGTGTGATTTTTACTTTTCAAATTTGCCCATACTTGACGCTGTTCTTCATCTGATAGATGAAGCGTCATTGATACATTTCGTAATAGTTCCATCCGTTCTTCATCCGAACTGAAATGTTAATTTTTCAATCATCTTTTTAATTCTTTAATTAAAATCTAATTTTATGTATTTCTTATCTGTTTAAATAAAGATTTATGATAAGCGCCTATATGAGCAAAAATTTTTTATCCTTAAAATCTAAGTCATTTGTGAAGGCAAAATAATTAATCAATGATAATGTTATCTTAGCATTCTTAGACTATAATATTTAATGATATTTAAGAAATAAATTTTGGAATATGCTAGAATTCAGGATCTATCATCTGAATTTAATCTGTTGAATTAAATATCATATGTAGTAATTGGAATCAATGGGATCAATTGATACAAGCGCTCACCAGATTCGTTCATTCAATATATACCTAAATCAATGTGGTCAGCACGATAGAATTTGTTAAGATTTCACAGTTATCAATAATTTTACCTAGTAAGATACTGTAGAAAGAGATGTTTTATATAGGTGAACGAAGGGAAATCAAGTTTTGTTTGTGATTCTAATGAACCATCGCAAGAAATATGATCAACTTCTGCTACTGATTGCTTCAGTTTACTGATCCGAACTTGTTGAGCTCGTATCGCACGATCACGATCAGTTATCATTCCTTCTAATTCAAATACTTTTGTTTGCCACTAAATTTCAGCAAATTTTTATTACATTTGATTATATTTATAAAAAAATTCTTTCGAAAATATAATCACACCAATGAAATAAGAAAACTTATCATTGAAAATATAATTACACTAATGAAATAGGAAAACTTATCATTGATTAGATAAATTATTTCTTTCTTTTAACTATCTTAATGTTTTTCAATCATTAAAAAACAATTAAGCTTACTCGTTGAACAATTTCTGAGATACTTTCACCATTTAAAAGCATTTTTTGCAATTCAAGTTCTCTGGTAACATCATCAAGATCCATTGAAAGACGTTCACGCTCAATAGACCATTCTCGTTTCTCGAATTCAATATGCAAAAATCACTTTTATCACCAGTATCATGAATATCATAACATCAGCTAATAGAAACTAACTATATGTAGATTATAGCTATTTCAAATAAAAATTATATTCTGAAAATTTTAATGAACTGAATAGTTGTTGAGAGCTACGAAAAATAGCAAATCACATTACCTAACTAAACTTATTTCTTAAATATCTTTTAATTCAAATGAATATTTTAACTATTTCAAATAAAAGATTATCATTTAAAAGATGTTTTATGAGTTATCCGTATATTTATAATTTATTTAACTTTTGCCTAAATTAATATTTTGATCTTATCAATATTATATGTACCTGTCGTGAGAGTGAAGCATTCCTAACAAGCAAACCATCACGTTCATCGATAATTTCTTGCAATTTTATCTGATTCTGATTAGATTCATCACTAAAATTTATTATCATAAAGAGAAAAAATATTCGAAGTTATGGTAAAGTTATGAAAGAAATAAAATTTGATATTATAATGAATGAAAAATCTATTCAATATATCATTTTTGTGAAGATTGAAAAAGGTAAATAAACTTAATAGGATTTATTGATTGCTGATATCGTATGGTAGGAAATGATAAAGTTGAATTAAACAAGAGTTGACTATGCAAAATGATTCTTTGCATAGAAGTTTTATAAATTAGAAAATTAATCTTATCATAAGTCGTTTCATATTGCAATGATGAATCATCTCTTTGCTCAGTTAATTCCACATCAACTTTCTAATTTTAATTCCTTTAGATTTGTGAGAAGGAAAATTGATGAATTGCATGAGCAGAATAAATTAGGAAGATTTTTGATAAAAGATAAATTGGGAAGTTCTAAATTTACACATATCTTTACTTAATAGCAGAATTATTCGACTTCATTGTTTTTATCATATCGAAATTTCGATTATTAAAGTAAAATTTAACAACGAAATGAAAACGAACAAACCCAACAGATTCAATCACCGAATGCAATCTTCCACAATTATATTCGAGAGTTCTAATTTTATCAAACAACTTTCCAATTTCTAAATTCTTCTCATTAAGTTCATTTCGAATTATTCGCAGTTGTTTATCTTTCTTTTCAATTGAGTTACATAATACGTTTAATCGACTCTCTATAGCTGTATGCCTCTAAAAAGTTTTACATTTATTTAACTTTTCATGACAGCTAATATTGATAAGATTAAAATATAGGAATGAACAGAACATAATATCATTCATCCTTATTACTTACTATTTCAATCGATTGAGCAAAAATAAGTATTCAAATTTTAGTATTTGTATTTAATACATGAACTGCTTGATTGCTTATTTTATTATGTAATGGACATTGTTGTATGCAGACTATAACAAAATTTCACCAAATCTATCAGTAAGATTTAAAAAATTATGAAAATTACCTTGTATCTATCGTTGACCCTCAAACTATTACTTCGATCACTTTTGGTTCCTTGTGACTGTTCAATTCTATATAGTAATGATCAAAGTTTAATTTTCAGATATGAATAACGATTGAAAACTTGCAAGTATTATTTACCACCGAATATTGCCCAAAACTTTTGTTCATAAGGAAGCTTTGAAATGATAAATGTAAAGCGGAAAAACGTACTTTGCATATTTTGCATTAAAAAACACACTTTGCATATTTTGCATTAAAAAACCTACTTTGCATATTTTGCTCCACTACCAATATTACGTGTCGGATAGAAAGATGACGTTGATGCTGATGTAACTGATATCGGAGATGATGAGAGTTGAGCCGCTATAATATATCATCTTCGTTCATTCTAATATAAAGCAAAAGGTCACATAAATTAGTTAGGTCATGTCAAATTCTCCCTTCCGATCTATTTACAGCAAATTCCACAAACGTTTCAAGTTCTTGGAAGTTTGGACAATTTCCATTCGGCTTTAATCAAATGTCGAATTGTAATAACGAAAAAAGTAATAAATTTTTAATGCATTTATGAATAAATAATTTCTTTCAAATACTTTAATACTTCTAATTGGGAATAATTTAAATTGGAATTCTTGTTGAGAATAAGAAAAAGTACCACTGGTTGAATCATCAATCAAATCAGAATCATCAATACTAAGGTGTCCACTTGATTGATCATAATTCGACGATTGAAGAATCTGTAAAATGAATATTTTTGATTTAGAAAATTTAATATCTATTAAAAATCTATAACCCAATGAAATTAATGGATTCAGTTATTTCTCTTTATTATTCCTTTACAAGTAGCCTATCAATTAATTTCATGAAAAATAGCTAATAATTTTCTATGAAATTTTGAAATTATTTAACCAAGTATATAAAAACAATAAGTTAACCGGTGAAGTTTGCTGATCAGAATCATCCGAAGATTGCTTATTTGCTTCAAAACATTTGTCTGAATAAGGGTATGATAGTTTTATTGGTTTGTTATATGAATTATCCTCAGCAGCATTATCATATGGTAATGATAAAGCGAGTTGTTCAATACTCTGATCATCACCTTGATTTTCTTGATTATACATTACTTCGGATTTATGATCACTACAAATAGATTATTTTACAGTTAGCCGTAAGGTTAGACCCATAGTTGTTTTATTAATAACGATATATTTATCATGAAAAATGATCGGGTCAGATCGAGTTAAGAAAAATTTCTAAATTTTGAAGTCAAAAAAAAGGTGAAAAGTTAACAAAAGTAAATAGGAATTTAAGTACCGTTATCTACTACAGTAATGGAAAGAAGCTATGATTTCACGCCAAGTAACCTAATACAATATGTGGTACCCAGAATCATTTCAGTCTAATGTTCTGATATATATATTCCCATCATACCAAAAGATTTTTTTGCAACCTTTTGAAACTTTCCGAAAACTTCTTTGAAAAGAAGCAGTGTGAAACATTGACTGATAAAGTAATCAATTGCTATAAAAGTAAAAATTAGCAATCCTAAAATTAGTAGGCTTACTAAAAATTAGTAAGCAATCAATGTATAAGTCAATTTGATATAGAAGAAGTTGTATTTGACTAAAGAAATATATACAACCAATACATTCAAACAAAAAATAAAATAGTGAATAAAAAGCAAGAAATAGAAGCTTCAAAAGTTATTTCTACATGGTGAAACATTACTTCTCATCAGATTTTCCATAACTGTCGAAATATTCCGAATGAATTGTACTGACATTAAAACCGTAAATACTGACATTCCGTAAAAACCGTAAATACTGACGAAATATTGCAATTCAGTAAATATTTTTTGCTATTTCAGTAAACTTTCAAGCTATACTATAATATTTTGAAACACTTCAATGTATAATTTTATACTAATGTGATGTAACCGGATTTTCCACTTCCTCCACAAATAAATTTGCTAAGATGAAGTATGACGGATGAAATAAAAAAACTACTCATCTTCACTTTCAACTTATTCTATACTTTTGTTCGAATTCATTGATTGATATTAATTACTACAATAATGATAGAATTGATCCAGGGATGATAAGAAATAGAAATTTGGATTAAATTTGCATATCGAATTGCTACACTGTAAGATATAAATTTTTAAATTCATCATCTTTACCTGCACACATTATTAATTTTATATTCTCTTAAGTTTTTTTAGAGATAAAGTTAAAGTTCAATTTTTTTGCAGATGTACTGCTAAATTATAATAATATAATTTAATCATTCGTTACAATCATTAAATATTTGAAGTGTAATAAGAAATTTCTGTATATCTAAATATAGTAACTATATAAAATGAACAGTATGTGAAAAATTAAATTAAAATGGAATGAAATGAAATGAAATGAAATAAAATGAGAAGTTCGTGATATGAGCGACAAAATTTATAACAATAAGTTCAAATGTTTCACATTATTATCACTGTCATTGTGTAAAGAATTGAGTGATGAAATCTTTACCGAAAAATTTTTAGAAGTGCCTATTATGCCATATTATGAATCATTGTTTAAGGATGTTAGTTTTCGTCAGCTTTGGTGGAAAAAGAAAATTTGTCGGCATTATTGCAAACAAGTTTAATTCCTATCGCAGTAATTTGTTGAGAAGTTATTTGAGAAAGTAAAACTTTCATTTCATTTCTTTCTCGTATCATTCATTATTATCCAAAATGAAATAAAACCGAAATAAATTCTAAAATGAAAATTTATTTATGTTAAAATAATTTTAGGAAAAAAATAAATAAAATGATGAAATTAGTAATTAATTCAAATATTTTTATTATTAATTATAAATAATATAATTTTGAATTTATAAATGAAAATTTTGTTTTATATTATTTCGTTTTTTTATTGAAGAATTTTTAATGGAAAGATTTTACAGTAAGCTAATTGACAGTCTAAAATTTTAATTTGTTTTGAAAAAATTTTTTTACTAAATAATAGAGGAAAAAGAAAAACAAATACTCATTTTAACTTTATATTAAATTTGAGTAATTTAATTTAATTATGTATATGTGATACGATCAATAATTACTGAAGTAATTAGAAGAAAAAAAAAGGCATTTATAATAAAATAAAACAAAAGGATTATTTAGAGAAGAATGAATGAATGAATGAATGAATGAATGAATGAATGAATGAGCTGGTTTGTAATAAAAATACATTTAATGTTAGTTGATAAATTATTGAAATCACATGAAGTGTCAAAATTGTTTTGATGATATGATGGAGAAAAATGATAACAACGACAAATAATTTGTAAAATAGACTTGTTTCTTTTATTAAATAAAAGAATTTCATCAAATGACATTACAAAAAATAATTGTAACAAAAATTGCAATTAATTAATTAATTAATTAACAATAATAATAATAATAATAATGAATTAAAAGCGTGTGTGTATGTGTGTGTGTGTGTGTGTGTGTGTGTGTGTGTGTGTATGTGTGTGTGTGTTGCAATTAAGAAATAAAATTATAAAAATCTTTTGCATTAATATTCATTGAGTTATATAATTTATAAAATTTTTATCCGAAAGATTAATTTAATAATTTAAACATAAACTAAATTTTTATTTAAATAAAATTTTATATTCGAATTAAAAATAATTCGAATATAAAATTGTAGTGAAGTATTATTGGGTAGTATTGCATGAAATATAGCAATGATACTGAAAATATATAGCTTTCTTAAAACCCTCCCACGCTTCTTCCGCCTCCATTTCCTACCACTCTTCACTTCAACCTAATCGCTTTATTATTTCATTTCATTCCTTATAAACATCATTGTAACGTGTTTATTTGAGCATATTTACAACTCAGATGTGACTATCATTCTGTTACTTCCAATATGGCAAGCAATAGAATGTCGAAATTTTTATCATATTATGCTTCTATTAAAACGAAGAGTATCTATCACACATTGATAACTACTACACCTTATCAATGCATTATTCATTGGTATGCAATGCAAGTAATCATTCTTTTATCATTTCAACTATGCTATTAAAAAAGAAAAGGGAAAATAGATATGTAAGAAAGACAAATGGAATGTTATCAATGAAAGGAAATTAGCATGAATTCTAAATTCTTAACAGTTGTCATTTTCTGTTTGAATGCATGCATGCATGCTGATTGCAACAATCAGATAAGTCATTTATCCTGCAAGTATGGTTTAAGTATTGTATATTATGGTCTAAATTATGAATTTCAAAAATGAATTGAATGTAATAGTCTAATAATTACTATCACAAGCTTTTTTTTCTAAGGAGCAATATATGGCAATGACTAATATGTCATTAAACAAGATAGAACTTAAACGATAAGCCTAGTAATACAAGTTAATCTGTAAGTTGTGCCAAGTGGGGCAATTTGCAGAAGCATTCGCAAACA